ACAGTACTCACATTTTTTTTCCTTGTAGAGAGTGAATCCAGCTTTAGAGACAATAATTGCAGCATAATAAATATTTTTCTTTTAGTAGGGAGAATGCTAGCATTTTAAATAGAAATATCTTTGAGAAATTAGTTTCTGTGTTAAAACTGTTCTTTGCACTTTGACTCAGACTGTAATAGCGTACATCTCTGTAATGACAGCCCTTTAGAAAGAAGATTGATCCTGATCCTTTTCTTTTAAAAAACCTGTTTTAGACTGTGTTTGTGGTTCAGCAGTAGAATTCTTGCCCTGGGCTCATTCCCCAATTCCACACACATAAAGGAAAAGAAACTTTATTTGTAGTAGCTAATTGTGAGTGATACAGTGTATGTAAGTAACTTGTGAACTGCACAGGAATGTCTTCCCTCAGCAAACAGTGAGCTGTCATTTCTGCCTGCGTCTGCCTGCAATGACTGTTTTGCAGAGTCTGTGTTTATTTGCTTACAAGTAAGCCAGCATCTTACTGTATAAACTCTGACATTGAATGCAATGCATTCATTCAATTCAATTGAATACAGTGCATTCAATTCAAGGACATATCGTTTGCCTTACAAGCGGCCAACATGGCCGACGCGAGTTCGATTCCTCCCCCCCTCTCGGAGAGCCTGGCAAGCTACCGAGAGTATTCGATATGCCAGACACAGTAACAACAAAGTCTCCAATGGAGACGTTACTGGGCCCACTCCAGCAAATCGACGATCAACGGGAGGGCCTTTACCTTTACCTTTACCTTTTATAAATGAAGATAACATACAATTCAGAAAAAAACTTGTAGTTTCATAACTAATCTTACTTGAAGTAATTTTTATTTATTTGGGCAAACCATGTCTTCCACATAGACTTTTAAAAATTATCAAATAGCTTTCCTCATGGACACAGCTCTCGTGCATGGTGATGTAATGAAAACCCACTAGACTCTTTGTAAGAAATGTGGCAAGCATTAGTCCCACAAAGTCGCACAGTACAAGAAAGGTAAGGATTCTCTGTATACACAGGGAAAGCGGCATTATGGTTGGAAAGAAAGTGGTTATAGAGGTCAGACTATGCCAGTTTTCCAGAAAGAGACAAAGAAGATCATGTTGAGGTTGAATGCATTGTTCCCAACTGCAGACCTAAGAAAAAGCTGGTCACTAAAAGATACAAGCATTCTGAACTGGGAAGAGATACACAGACAAAGGGCCAAGTGATCTAGTCCTAAACTTCATCTTTCATTATGAAGATAATCTTGAGTTCCATCAAAGGCAAGGGAACAGTTGGTGTTGGGGAGGTAAGTGAACTAGTGCTGTGAGTGAAGTTCCCCTGTGGGAAAGTTTGCTTGATAGAAAAAATTATAAAATACTGGATAAGGATAAAGAATATTGACATAGAAGCATAAGGATTCTATTCAGAATTAATATATAAATGACGCTGTTTATAAAGAAAGAAGTGGAAAATTGAGATATATTTCCCAGCTCATATGATTTTAATTTTTGTTCCAACATTTGAACAAAGCAGTTTCACACAGAGTGAATAGATATTAAACTTGCTGGTTAATCTGACAAATTTATAGCTTTATTCTATAATGTTTGTGAAAGTTCAGTTCTACTGAACTACATTAAGTTTTAAATTATGTGTTTCCTATTGTATTATGTAAGTTCATACTTCCAAAAGTACAAAATATATGTGCTTTACCTTTTTCTTTAAATGTTAATGTTTTATTAAATACAGAATGCACCAGTGAATAAGTACTTGCCTATCAGTGTTTTGTTCCATGTTAAGAAGTATATAAGGAAAGCAGAGAGAAGTATTACATAATCAAATATTTCCCCATTCAAATAAAAACTTTGACAGAGATCCAGGGTTTGTTCCAAATGACACTTAATTCTTTCAAAGCAAAATAAGCATTTAATGCTTTATTCTAAATCTTTTCTACTAGTTTGTGTTCACTATTATTGGTTATATCCCCAATGGTACAGTGGCTCTAATTCTGTGGCCTTAAAATGTGTGTAGTCAGGGACTGGAGCTATAGTACAGCAGGTAAGGTGTTTGCCTTGCACGCCGCTGAGCTAGGTTCAATCCCCAGCATCCCATATGGTCTTCCAAGCAATGCCATGAGTAATTCCTGAGTGCAGAGCCAGGAGAAACCCCTGAGCATTGCTAGGTGTGCCAAAAGGCAACAAATAAATAAAATGTTTTAAAAAAATGTATGTAGTCTCCCAAGCCCTGCCAGGAGGGTCCCTAAGTGATCCCTGAGCCAGGTTTAAGCCCTGAGCACAACCGTGTATGGGCCCCAAAATAAAAACAAAACAAAAAATACAGAAATGTAAGTGATTATTTTATTATTAAATATGAAGGACCAGATCAAGTTACCATTAATCTTTAACTTTATGACTTAATTTCTTAAATAAATGTGCCTAGTTCTTTCTGAAGCTTTTACTTTGCTATATCCAGTAATTTCCTCTAATTCTTAAGATAATTTTCCAAGAAGTGGTGGTTATAATCTTTAGTACAGAAACCTAAAAGGTTTTTAACTTTTCACAGAGCTAGTAAGTCATCAACCATTTTCTTTTTCATTTTTCCTATTCACTGATACCATTTTTTTCTTGGTTTTGTATGGGTGACATCCTACAGCAAAGGCTTGTAATGACCAACTCTTCATTATTTGTAATAGTATTAATACGCACAGATCCCATTCTAGATATTAGTGTCAGATGTTAACACTAAAAATGGGCCATTATAACAAAAGTAGCTGATTAACTCATATCCATCTTAGGTTTATATGAAAAAAGCTTATCTACCTGTAATCCTCATATTTTTCAAGGGTAGCTTAAATTTTTATTCTGAATTTAAGCATCATTTTACAAGCCCGTCTGTGGAACTGGGTCAGTCAGCAGCATGGCTTTCGAGAGTAATCGTGGAGCTGTGAAGCTGGGCTGTTTATTTGCTGGACGATGTCAGGTGGATGGCATGCTAGGCCCCTCATCAGGGTGGGGACTCCACCTGCCCCATCTCGAGAAGGCTCGAGAGATCTCAGCCCGTGGGCTAACCTGCTAACAGTGAATTTAAAGCAGGGGTCTGGAGATAGCCTGAAAGACTGCAGCTGATGCCTGCCTCGCATGCACAATGGGGTCACCAGGTGCAACCCTTATGACCCCCAGTTCCACCGGACCCAAGCACTAAACCATCAGCCCTGTACTACTGGACCAGGTATCACCAGGAGTGGCCCCGGGCCCCCAAAATGTTGCTTAGGAGGCAAAAACAAAACAAATCATTTGCGTTAATGGTAATGTTCATTTTGTATACCTTACTGCCATGCTTTGGAGCTTTGATCAAAAATTGGGTCAAAGAATATAATTTGTTGTTGTTTTTTGAGGCCACAACTTGTGGTGCTCGGGGCATAATCCTGGCTGTGTGCTCAGAAAGACTTAAGGGACCATATGGAGTCCCGGGAATTGAACCCAGGTCATCCGCATGCAAGGCAAGCACCCAACCCACTATACTGTCTCCAGCCCCAAGAGTATAAGAACACTGAAAATTTTCATGGAACCATGTTTCCTTTTACTACTTGGAATCTCTTGACTAAATTCAGTCTTCATTGGCAAAAATAACTCCTACCTGAATGTTAGTATACCCCCAACCCCTTTTCATAAATCATGGAAAATTTTAATTGCTTCACTGCTCCCTTTTGGGATGGGGCAGGAGGGACATACTCAGCAGTGCTCAGGGACTCTTTCTGATGCAGTGTTTACGAGTGACCCCTGGAGCCTGGCGCTACTCAGGGTACCATATGTGATTCTGGAAGTCAGATTTGTGTCAGCAGGATGCAAGCCAAGCACCTCAAAACCCCTGTACTATCCCCCCACCCCATGTCCTCACTTATTGTACTGTCCTTATTTATCTCAGGATATGCCATTTCAAGTCCTGTTTGGAAATAAACTACGAAGAATATTTGACTGTAAAATCAATAACCTTGATCCTTGCTTATTAGAGTGTAACAAAAGTGAGAGAAGTGTGATTCTCGGGGGTAAGAAAATGGCACACCCCGGTCACAAGTAAACGAACATAATAAAAGTAGAAGACATTCTAAAACTGAAGTGATTTTATTGTTCTTAACAAAGACTTTCTCAGCATGAGCAACTGGAAATGATGCTACCCAAACAAACTTAAACTGGTTTTTTTAAGGTGAACAGAAGGTAAAAGAAACTACCCACCTCCCACCAACCCCCATTCCCTCTCCCCGCCCAGTGAGTATTAGATCTTCATATTTTGTTTCTTTGTTTTGGCTGCACCCAGCAATGCTGGGAAGCCACTCCCAAAGTTGCTTAGGGGATCCTGCAAAGTGTTAAGTGCTAGTAAGCCCCCTCCCCAGCAAGATCTATATATTTTTCAAGAATTTACTGTATCTGCGATAGCACAGCGGGTAAGGTGTTCGCCTTACAAGCGACCAACATGGCCGACCCGAGTTCGATTCCTCCGCCCCTCTCGGAGAGTCCGGCAAGCTACTGAGAGTATTCGATATGCCAGACACAGTAACAACAAAGTCTCCAATGGAGACGTTACTGGGCCCGCTCGAGCAAATCGACGATCAACGGGAGGGCCTTTACCTTTTTACTGTATCTGCCTAATGAGAAAAAGCTACAAATTCACAGACAGACCAAGAATTGTCTTCAAAAAGACTTACTAACTTACTTCCCACAGACTGAGATCTATAAGGTATTCAAACTAACACTGCTCTAAATGTCTGCCACATCACTAATAAGAAAATGTACTATCGAAAGTACAGCATAAATCTGCATAATTTCTGTAATGTGGATAAGCATTCCCATAGGCTTACTGCCCCCTGCAGTTGAGTTAGCTCTTGGTCTCTACTGTCTGTAGCTGTGGGGGGGGGTTTTGTATTTGTATCCTATTATTGGTGAGAACTTGAAAGAAGTATGTGCTCTTTGGAATTTTTGTGTCTCATAACCACATTTTCCTTCTAGATTCAAAACAAACAAGAAAAGAAACCTGGAACACCACTTGCACCTCCAGCCGCCTTTCCAAGTAGTCCTCAACCTCTCTCCCCTGTTCCTCATGTGAACAATGTTGTGAATGCATCATTGTCCAAAAACATTCCACAATTCTACTTTCCTGAAGGACTCCCAGATGCCTGCAGTAACCACGAACAAACACTAAGCAGAATTGAAACTGCTTTCATGGATATTGAAGATCAGAAAGCAGACATTTATGAAATGGGAAAAATTGCAAAGGTAATGTGTAATCCCATCTTGCTCTCCACACTGCCTCTTTGCTCTTTGTTGGTCGTCCCTCCCCCCCCCCAGATTAAAAAATTAATTTGATTTTGGTAAAATTCTAGCTTTGCTTCTATTTCATGGAACTCTAGAGTCTGAAATAATTTTTTATAGTCTTCTAGTCCAACCTCCCATTTCAATGCATCCATTATACTGATGATAGCAATAACATGTAAATTCATTTTCTACTTGAATGTTCTCAGTTACCAGAAACTCACTACCTTGTCCAACAGTTCAATCATTAAATAGTCTTGCTTGTTAGGGAAATTCCCCTTACATCAAATATTAATCATTCTTGTTCTCACCCACTGATCATAATAACTCTGCCCTGAAGCCAGAGGAGGAAGCAGTAGGCCCACTTACACTATAACTGAACTCAGAAGCAAAACTCTTTACCATTAGGAAGCAAGTCTTCGATACTTTACAATGTAATTGCTCCTAATTTTTCTTTTCTTTTTTGGTCATACCCAGCGATGCACAGGGGTTACTCCTGGCTTTGCACTCAGGAATTATTCCTGATGGTGCTCGGGGGACCATATGGGATGCTGGGAATCAAAGCCCAGTCAGCCATGTACAAGGCAAACACCCTACCCACTGTACTATCGCTCCAGCTCAATATCTGCTCCTAATTTAAAAGGCTAGCTCTCCTAGCGCCAGACAAGGAACCAGTGGACCAGCTTAACAATATGATTATATTCAGAAACAAATGGATTTGCCGGTAGGTAGCAAGTTTTATATATCTTCCAATATATCTGCTTCTAATGTAAGACATGAGAAGCACAGTCAGTGCCTCATCTAGTGAGTCACTTTCAGTGACTGCATTTCGTCCTCAGTCTTCCTCTTAGAGCAGTTAATGTGAGCGTGATTATCAAAATATTTGATTATGCCATTCCCAGCTCAGCAGTATTCAGGGATTCCTATCATTTGTGGTTATGTGTTTTTGTTTGTCTGGTTAGTGTTTATTTGTATCATGAGGTATGTCCAGGTCATACTTCAGGATTTATCAGAGTTTTCAATCTCTTCTTCACGAGGCAGAGAGAGATTTAGTAGACTTGAGGTCTTCTTATAGGCAGGTTGGAGACCAAGTGGGAGCTCTAAAGACTTCATGTACTTTTCCTGGGAAGAGTTTTCCTTTCCTGCTTTTAGTAGTAATATTTAAGAGTTTCCAAATTTATCTTTAGGAAAAAACTCAAACTAAAGTGCCCTGTGTGAGCCTGACCTGCTTGCCCCACCCTCAGCCCCTACAAAAGCTTGCCTCTGCATTTGGACCTTGTAGCTTTCCCCTCCAAAATGGGCTGCTAATACTAAGCCCCTCATCCCTAATCCTGTAAGACCTAGTTCCCATTTTATCTTTAGATTGAACTGCTCAGTACCCCACTCTGGTCTTCTGTCCTCTCCACTGACCTTAGAACATTTGTTATTACTGTTAAATAATTTTTAAATACAGTGATTTTTTTTAGGGAGATAAAAAGGAATTATTTCATTCTCCCCTACTTCACCCCTCCTGTCTTATAACTTGTTTGTTTGTTTGTTTGTTTTTGAGTAACACCCAGCAATGCACAAAGGTTACCTCCTGGCTTTGCACTCAGGAATTACTCCTGGTGGTGCTCGGGGGACCATATGGGATGCTGGGAATCGAACCAGGGTCAGCCGTGTGCAAGGCAAACACTCTACCTGCTGTATTGTCGCTCCAGCCCCACAGCTTGCTTGTTTATTCCCTCAATATTTCTGGTGAAACAAACTCATTCATTCCAGGATTAAGAAATCTCTAATTTCTACTCTGCTTATGTATAGATGAGGGAACTGAAGTCTTGCAGCTTTAATTTCCTCATCTATATTTAGCTAAAGTCATGGAACTAGTTCCTGTCTGGAGACAGTTCATTTACCTCCTAACTTTCTGCTTTTTCTGCCATGTTATCTTCCCCAAATAGGCTACTTCCAATAATAAATGTATCCACCCAGATAAAATGTATCCACCCAGATACATTTTAAGTTCTTCCACGGCTTAAACTTCTTCTTACCCAAACTTTGAAATCTGTTGCTTGAAACAAGATGGTACATTTATTAAAGTGGACTTAAACTGTGAGTCTAAATCTGAAGAGGTTCAACAAGAATGAATCAAATCTTCATTGGAGATAATCTGTTAACTGCATAAATGTAGAATTTCTAACAGGGTAACAGTTTGTGTGAGAGAGATGAGTTTTCAAGGATTGCTTTGGATAGGCAGTCAAGGAACAATTGCCCAGAGTAAGGGACCTGCTAGTTAAGCAGTGTGTGCTGGGTTCACTGTCTGCAGAGCCAATCCTGGGATGCACTTGCTGTAGACTGCACTGTCTCGAACACCTTCCTCCCCTGAATATTCCCTCCTCCTGACTCAGGGTCCCATTCTCCTGGACCTTTCTGCTGCCCTGACCCTCTGAATGTTCAACAGATTCAGTGAAAGAAGAGCAGAATGGTTCGGGATTCTGTATGGTCAAGGAACTTGTGGAAAAATTAGTCAATCAGGGAAAGGCTCTGTACTTATTGGGATGTCAAAGAAAAGGAATAGGGATCCTTATATATATAGCACCATGAAAAACTACTAGGTTTGAAGCATAGAAACCAGAAAAAGTTAGAAAATCAGCCATAGTAAGTCACTTACATAACATTGACAATACCTGACCGTCTTGTGGTACAATAAGCAGCCTGCGTATAGATATCTAATTGTCTGAATTGTGCTTGTTTCTGAATTCCAGTTATGGGATATCAAGCATTTTTGTTCATTTCCTGTGATTCGCAGCTCATCTCCTTAACTGTTCATTCAAAGTATCAAGGTAAACTTGCTCACGTCTTTAAAAAGTTAAAACTAACATTGCCTATAAAAATGAGACTGTCAGGGCTGGAGCAATAGTACAGCAGGTAGAGCGTTTGCCTTGCTTGAGGCCGATCCAGGTTCGATTCTCAGCATCTCATATGGTCCCCTGAGCACCACCAGGAGTAATTCCTGAGTGCAGAGCCAGGAGTAACTTCTTTGCATCACCGGGTGTGACCCAAAAAGAAAAAAAAAATGAGACTATATATCATGATCTCAGAAAATAATTTGGGTGTATTTTTTTTGTATTACTGAATCATTTTATTGGTTTTTGCCTCTTTATTCTTAGAGCCTTTTTTTTAAAAAAAAAAACATTTAATTGTTCTTCCAGTTAGCTAATCCCCAGCTAATCCTGCTTTTACTTGGCTGTGGAAATTCTTTCCTTCAGACATTCTTTGCCGTGGAAACTGACCTTCTCTGCCGCTAGGTGTCTCTATACCTGCAGAACTTGATTTCCCTGGGCTCGACATCTCACCGCAAGCTGGTGCAGGAGCAGTGTTCCTGACGGGAGAGGTGCTCAGGGAATCTTTAGGGGTTACTGTAGTGTATGAAGCCATCTGGAAGGCGGGCTGAGGTGTGCTGTCTTAATGATGCTTGTGTTTGTGGTGGAAACTGAGATCTATTTTTAAGTGCAAAGAAACCTCTTCTCTTTGAAATCTGCTTGTGTTGGGAAATTTAGCTTATTGATCTCCCACCTCGAACAGTCCCGGGGAGATTAATACCCATTTCTGATTAAATTATCAGTGTGTGAATTGTACTTTTTCCCAGGACTTTAAATGACAATAAGAAAGAAATTAGTAGAGAATGGATCTAAGACGGATAAAAGCAAGTTGGTTCCCTTGCATGCAACTTACTCAGGTCCAATCACCAGAAGTGATCCCAGAGCTCAGAAGAGTAAGGAAGGATTTGTAAAGACCAGGGAGAGTGTAGGGTTAGAGCAGTTGTCTTGCATGTAACACCCAGAGTTCCATCCCAAGCATCATATATGGTGGCCTGAGCATCATCAGGAGTGATCCCTGAAGCGCCACTGGCTGTGGCCTTTTCAAAAGGAAAAGAACATGTCAGAAATGGAACCAGAGGATTCCCTGCAGAGCCTTGTTTTTCTGTAGTTGAGGGGGGGAATGAAACTGTTTTGTAAGCCACACAAAGCCTGCCCTCTCCTGCCCTCTTACTTTGCCTTTTGGCTGATGTAGCATCATCCTGACACCTATCGCCTTTCAAGTTGCATGTGTATGCTTAGATTTTCTGATCTAAGGAATGGAATGCAAATACCTGTCCTTTTCTACACGGTAATCATTGAGTTACCAAATGAAATAGCATGCATGAGGCATCTTTTTTGTTTGTTTGTGTTTTTTGCCTTTTGGGTCACACCTGATGATGCTCAGGGGTTACTCCTGGCTTTGCAGTCAGGAATCACTTCTGGGGTGCTCGGAGGACCATATGGGATGCTGGGAATTGAACCCAGATCGGCCGCGTGCAAGGCACACACCCTACCTGCTGTGCTATCGATCCAGCCCCCCCAGAATGAGGCATTTTTAATGCTCTTTTTTTTTTATTAAACCACTTTAGGGAAGGCTAGAGAGCCAGTTCACTGTGGAATGCACTTGCCTTGCATGTAACTGACTCAGGTCTGACCACCAGCATCACCAGAAGAGACCCCTGAGCTCAGAGCCAAGATGAAGCCTTAAGCACCTCCAGGTGTGGCTCTGAAACCCAAAGTATTAAAATAAGCCAATATACTTGTTGAATCATAGTCTCCTGTGTGTATCATTAGACATCCTTGCTTTCAGTGTTTATGGTGCTGCCAGTTTTAGATCAAATCATAGGTTTTCTTTAGATCAAACCAAGTTTTCTTTGCTTCCCCACAAACTTTGTCTCCTCTTCTAAATCTGTTGTAACTGTGGAAGGAGCCCTCTGGTTTGATTCCAGACCTGGCAGTAAGCAGACTGTACCAGGGGGCATTTCACCCCTTGAATGCCCACTTCCTGGGTTGAGCCTGGAAATTGCTAAGCCCTTCCAATTCTGAAAACTCCACAAGTGACTAACGATCGGGGTTTTGAGTACTTTTGCAAGCTGGCACTTCCAGTCTTCCTCCAGGCTTTCTTTGGGACTCTGCACCTCCATCTCTATAGTACCAACTATTCTTTAGTTATCCCTACAGTTGCCAGTAGCCTGTCACATGTAAGAGCTTTTCTTTGGCAAACCATGAAAGGAAAAATTGGAATTGGGTAAAGTGGATTTGACAGCTTACCATCCAAAGTATATTAATTGTGAGGTTTGTCCCTTGGCAATCGTAATTTAGCACGATAAACAAAATCCGTTTGGTTTCTAAGCAACATCTTGCCCTCATTCCTGACCTATTTGGCCTCTAGACTGAAGGTATTTGGCCTCTAGACTGAAGAAATCTTCAGTTCCACCCAGCTTGCAAAACATGCTTCAGTGGCCTTGACTGGAGCAGCTCGGATTTTCTGCCTTGTCCTTCCTTTGGTCCCTCAGCTTGAATCTCACCTTCCAGATCCTCATCCCTGCCACAAGCCCATCAGTCTTGTCAGGTTAACTCAGTCCAGACTCGGGAATGGTTAGCCCTTCTAGGGTCTTCCTCCTGCACTAAGGTCTCCAGCCAGGACAGCTTCACCCAACCCTAATGTCAGTTTCCATTTAACAGCTCCCAAAGACAGGTCTTCCCTTTGGCGGATGAAGAGCGCTCTGCAGTTCCTCTGTTGATATTAACACTGGTATCTGCAATGGCAGTGTGACTGAGAGTTTCAGCTTTAGGAGTATATTTTAAATGTTTCTTTAAAAATGTTTCTTTAAATAGTCTCCAAATATTTATAATCTGCTAATATATTACTTACAGAAAGGATTTCTGCCCCCCTCCCCCCACTGTTAGAAAAAAAAAACCAGGTTTCTTATAGAGCATAAGAATATCTCAGGGGTATGGTGCGCCAGCAGGTCAGTCTGTACCTGTGAGGCTAGTGCATCAGCAACATGATGGTGCCTTCAGACTTCTAGATACCCCAAAATTGATGCTGTGCCTTTGGCCAGACCCCAACAACTTGGGGCCAAGTTTACCAAGAAAGTAAACGGAGACATACCCACAAACCACCTCCGGCTCAACTGTATAATTGGAGGCAAGGTCTCTCTCGTTCCTGATCAAACTACTTAACAGCCATGATCTCAGAGTCTCAGAAACAAATCTCGGAACGCAGCAGCTTTTGGCAGAGATGTGTCCGGTTCCCTCAGTAGTTTACCAGCACCAGGCCACCCCAGGTGGGAACAGGTCTTGTGCCTTGGCCTGTTCTCCCTGGCCACTCGGTGGTCGCCATTCTCCAGAGGCCATTGGACAGTCAGGTTTGGGCCTGCAATGATAAGACACATGGGGCCTCATGGGATGGGGGTGGAGCCGGCCCTTTCCTCCCTGCCCCAACAAGACCCCGAGTCACTGCCCATGAACAGCCTCTCTGGCTCTGATCAAGCTGCTTAATGGCCATGATCCCAGAGACTCAGGAACAGCTCTCTGAACTCAGAAGGGTGGCAGAAATCCCTGCAGATTTAATTATTAAAATTTCGGGATTCCAAAATCATGCGGCCACTACTGCGGTCGAGCAACATCATACATTATTTATAACCGGCAATAGAAAACACATTATCTATGGTTGCCTTTTCAGTGGGATGGAGCGATAGCACAGCAGTAGGGCATTTGCCTTGCGCACAGCCAGCTGGCCGAGCCGGGTTCAATTCCTCCACCCCTCTCGGAAAGCCTGTCAAGCTACCAAGAGTATCTTGCCTGCATGGCAAAGCCTGGCAAGCTACCTGTGATGCAATCAGTATGCCAAACACAGTAACAACAAATCTCACAGTGGAGACATTACTGGGCCCACTTGAGCAAATCGATGAACAATAGGAGGACAGTGACAGTGACAGTGCCTTTTCGGCAGATCTGAATGTTGGGGTAAAATCCCAAATAATAATGGTAGGTCTGGGGTTGAAATATTGAATGAAATCAAAGTGGAGGGAGAGTAATGTGAAAATCATCTGCCCACAGGTAGGGGGAGGGTGTGGGATGGGGGTATACTGGTGGTGGAGAATGGGCACTGGTGAAGGGACAGGTGTTTCATCATTGTATGACTGAGACTTAAACCCAAGAGCTTTGTAACTGCTCTCATGGTGATTCAATAAATAAATTTATAAAAAAGAAAAAAAAGTAAGGTGGAGTTCATGCCCAATTCAGTCAGCCTAATCAATGACTGAATAAATAGCAATACTCCTACATTGAAAAAAAAAAAGAATATCTCCTTGGTAGACTATAGACTGAACATCATGGCCACTTAATAACTACTGCAAACCACAACACCCAAAAGGAGAGAGACAGCAAAAGGGAATGCCCTGCCACAGAGGCATAGTGGGGTGGAGGGAATGGGGTGGGGGGTGGGGAGGGATGCTGGAACCATTGGTGGTGGAAAATGGGCACTGGTAGAGGGATGGGTACTCGATCATTGTATGACTGAAACACAAGCACGAAAGTTTGTAAGTCTGTTAGTGTACCTCACAGTGATTCACTTATAAAAAAAATTCAAAAAAATAAATAAGAAAGGATGTCTCCTTGAGGCTGGAGCAATAGCACAGCGCGTAATTCGTTTGCCATGCACGAGATCAACCCGGGCTTGATTCCCAGCATCTCATATGGTCCCCCAAGCACTGCCGTGATTAATTCCTGACTGTATGAGCCAAGAGTAACCCCTGTGCATCACCGGGTATGACCCAAAAAGCAAAAAAAAAGAATTTCTCCTTATTTATTTATATGGTTTTGTGCTCATACCCAGGAGATTATGGCTCCAGCCTCCTCCCCCCAAAAAAGGTCTTTTTTTCAACAGAAAGGAGATTTTGGTGACTGAATAGATAGTAGCCAGTAGGGTGCTTGCCTTGCACATGGCCAACCCAGGTCTAATCCTTGGCATCCTGTAGAGTCCCCTGAGCCGATCAGGAGTGACCCATGAGCACAGAACCAGGAATAAGCCCTGAGCATCTCCTGGTGTGGCCCCAAAAAAATTTAAAAAGAAGGGAATGGGGAAGATGTGGGACAGTTCAGAGCATAGCTGTTAGGTCAGCCCCTCACACTGGTTCAGCTCTTAGTGCCATTTGGTCCTGTGAAGGTTTCTGGATGCAGCCCTGGAGGCCCCCAGCACTGATGGGGAGGCCCAGGTGGCCCCAGCATCACAGGCCTGAACAGCCTCACATTACTGGGCCCTTGCACTGCCAGCCTGGTTTGCTGAGAATCGCTGGTAGGGGCCCTGAACTTCTTGATTGAGTAGATAAAAGAAATACCTCTTAAGGTATTATGGTTATTTTATGTTCATTTCCAGTTCTTCCTGGGATTTTTATACTATATACATACTTGTTTGTGATTGTTTCTAATTTGTTAAGTGGTATCATTTTGATTTTTACCTTTTATCTTAATTATAATCACTTAAGTGGACTTATAGCTATTTTCCTAAAGACTGTAGACTCTTCTGGGTCTTCTAGAACCTGGAGCTTAATCACATGGGAGACAGAGGAGAGAGAGATAGTAGTCAAGTTTATTAACGTCCAGGGACCTAGACATAAAAGTGACTGTTTGCCTGCTCGATGGAGAAAGGGAAGGAAGGACTGTGGCAGTCTCTTCTCTTTCTTTCTAGAAGGTAGAAAAATATATAATGGGAGAGTGGTAGGAGAGAAGACTGGTTGCTTTAAATTATCAGGATAGAAGAAAGAAGCATCACTATATGCAAGCTGGGGGAAGATTAATGCATTTACTTTCTTTTCACTGGGTATAATTACCTTGTTTCTCCCTCTGCCTCTCAGCCTCTTCCCTCACTGGTATGTTTGCCTGCACCCCCATTTGGCTGCCTTCACGGGTAGCAGTGACAAAGGGCCTTTGTTTGGCATGTCAAGATTGACGGCCCTTGGCTTACTCCGTGTGTTCTCTTTGCAGGCCTGTGGCTGCCCTCTCTACTGGAAAGCCCCCCTGTTCCGGGCTGCCGGAGGAGACAGGACGGGATCTGTGTCGGCACAGGCGTTCATTGCCATGTGGAGAGAGTAAGTCACCAGGCACTTTCTCTAGAGGTGGGCGAAGAATGGTGTGGCCTTCATGACACGCTTTCTCAATGTCACTTCCTCATTGGTTAATTTCCCCTTTATCCCCTGTGATGCAGTCAGCTACAGCCAGTGATTCACAGTCACTTACACCCATACAGAAAATTATTGCCAGGGGTGGAGAGAAAATGCAGTGTGTAAGTAGGGCACTTGCCTTGCATGTGGCTGACCCAGGTTTGATCCCCAGCACACTGGATGGTCCCCTCCAAGCCCCACAGAGCCACAAGTAAGTCCTGAGCACTGTCAGTTTTTACCCAAAAACCAAAAGGAAAAATTCTCTCTGTGCACCTTAGGGATATCTAATCAATGGAATAGTTCTCTAGAAATACCTCTTTAATAACAACTGGTTCTTTCTTAGTTTTCTTTTTTTGTTGTTTGTTTTGGTTTGGTTTAGTATTGGGCCACACCCACGGATGCTCAGAATGTATTCGTGGCTCTGTACTCTTTTCAGGGTTCAGGAGACCATATGGGGTGCTGGGCATAGAGCCTGGGTCAGCTTCATGCAAAGCAAGTGCCCTGCGCACTGTACTTTCTCTCTATCCCCTGTACTTTCTTAGTATTTTCTGTTTAATTAAGATCTTAAGATTTTATTCCAGTAACAATGACAGGGACTCAAATTTTGTGTCTTGTGAAAATAGCTTATGGTTTTTTTTTACAGATATATATTAAAACACTGTGATTTGTTTCTTTAGGGCGGGGGCTGGGGTGTCACACCCAGCGATACTCAGGGGTTATTCCTGGCTTTGCACTCAAGAATTACTCCTTGCAGTGCTCGGGGGACCATATGGAATATCGAGGATCGAATCTGGGGTCAGCTGCATACAAGGCAAACACCCTATGCGCTGTACTATCGCTCCGCCCCCAAGACACGGTGATTTACAAAGTTGTTCTTAATAGAGTTGTGTTAGGTGTACATAATGTTCCAACACCAGTCCCACCACAGTATACCCTTACCTCCACCAGTGTGGAGGTTTCCTACCACCCCTGTCCCCAGCCTGCACCCTTGGAAGACATATAACAAATTACGTGCTCCAACAAAACTTAAAGAAATGGCAAATGAAATTGTCAGAAAATAAATCAAAAGTCAATTTGTAGTATTGATTGATGTATGATTTTAATCTGTGTAAATGAAGTAGTTCAAATAATTCAATACAATATAGAGTACTCTCTGTTCTTATTTGCATAACTAAATTTTTAACTCTGGCACCTAAAATATATCGTATTAAATTTTATTTTGTACTTGAATCTAACAGGGATGCTTATACTTTTATATTCAATTTAGAATTCTAACTAGTTTATTAAAAATTACTAAATTATAATGTATTGTGTCATTAGTTTTGAAATATTCAGTTAAGAAAAAACGAATAGTATATTTATCAAGAGTTCCCCATTTTTTTTTTTTTTTTATAGTTACAGACTTTCATGTTTGAGTTTCAGTCATACAGTGATCGAACACCATCCCTCCACAGTGTACATCTTCCACCACCAATATACTCAGTATCCCCCACGCCCCCAAACCCGTCCCACGCCTCCCCCTGCCTCTATGGCGGACTACTTCCCTCTTTCTCTCTACTTAGAGTTCCCATTTTTTTTAACTTTTGACTTTTTTTTTTAATCACAATGAGATACACAGTTACAAAGTTGGGTTTCATCCATACAGTGCTCCAGCATCCTTCCCTCCAACAGGACTCATTTCCCACCAACATTTCGACGAAATTTCTTGATTGTAAATCCAATCTTCTTTTTTGTTTTGGTTTTTGCTTTGGTTTGGGGGTCACACCCAGCAGTGCTCAGGGCTTACTCCTGGATCTCTGCTCAAGGATCCCTCCTGGCGGGGCTCAGGGGCCTGAGGGACGTTGGGGAATGAACCCAGGTCGGCCACATGCAAGGCAAGCACCCTACCTGCAGTACAGTCACTCTGGTCCCTTTATTCTTTTTAAGATCCTGGGGCCCCGTAATTATTATAGCACACAATAACAGCACCCAAGATTATTTACCTGCAGTTAACTGTATAATACTCAAAAGTGTAACCTCCAGTTTTTGGTCTTAAGATTGATTCTATGTCACTGGGACGGGGTGGACAGTTTTGTGGGTGAAGAGAAGCAGCAGCCACAACAGCTGAACTCTGGATTTTATGTCTCGTAAAAACAAACTCTGCAAAAAGGGGAAATGGACATGCAGCACAGGTCTTCATTTTAGGCAACTATAGGAAAATGCTTATAAAGTTACGTAGTATGCACAGCTGTCCTTCCCTTTTTCATTAAAATCTTTTTCTACATTCAGAAGGGCCGCTGAGTTAGCTTCCCAGGGCCGAGTGCTAAAAGGTCCGAGCGCCCTCTGGTGACAGCTACTTTCTCAGCACTTAGAATAACTGAAAACAGTCAGGGCCAAGGAAAATCAGAGTAAAGCTCTTTAGGGAGACTGAACAGCTAAATAGAATGGTTTGAATTACCACACTTGAAGGGCACATGTTTGTTCTTATGATTTTTAAGAAATAATTTTAACCCCTTATCCATAATGTGGCTGGGGCACAGATATAATATGTTTTAAAGGGCGGAGGCACATTGAATGTATACTGCTGACTTGTTACGATATTAAGTTCTGGGGCTGGAGCAATAGCACAGCGGGTAAGGCGTTTGCCTTGCATGTGGCCGATCGGGGTTCTATTCCCAGCATCCCATATGGTCCTCCAAGCACCATCAAGAGTAATTCCTGAGTGAAGAGCCAGGAGTAACCTCCGTGCATTGCCAGGTGTGACCCAAAAAGCACATAGCACTGTCCTCCCGTTGTTCATCGATTTGCTCGAGCAGGCCCAGTAACGTCTCCATTGTGAGACTTGTTACTGTGTTTGGCATATGGAATACACCACGGGGAGCTTGCCAGGCTCTGCTGTGGGGGCAAGATACTCTCGGTAGCTTGCCAGGCTCTCCGAGAGGAGCAAAGGAGTTGAACTTGAGTCAGCCTGGTCTGCCGCGTGCAAGGCAAACGCCCTACTCACTGTGCTATCGCTCCAGCCCAACCAAAAAAGCAAGAAAGCAAGCAAGCAAGAAAGAAACAAAGAAAGAAATTAAGTTCTATCTAGTCTTGAAAAATAAAGACAAACATGAAAGCCACAAAATAATGGGAAATAATTCCCCCCCGACCCCCCCACCCGGTCCAACTATCCAAATGCTCCTGGGCAGGGGGTGCTTCCCAGCCTTCTCCAAGAGCTTCTCCTTCATGGGTCCACGTTCCTCTTCTCTGCCCCACTCTCCCTATTCCTTTTTGTGTTACTGTTGTTTTTGTTTTGGAGGAACTCTTCCCAGATGTGCTCAGGGCTTGCTCCTGGCCCTGTGCTCAGTGATCACTCCTGCAAAGCTCAGGGTACCATATGAGTGCTGGGGATCGAAGCCTGGTTCTTCATGCTGAAGGCAAGCACCTTACCCATTATACTGTCTCTTGCCCCACCCATACCTGGATTCTGCTGCTCCTTTCACGTCTGTGCTCTGAAACCTGTTTCACTTCTAGTCAGGACACATGTAAGGGAAAGGCATTGCTCAGCAGCGTCGTCACGAGCGTGCCAAGAGTTTTGTGCAGAGCTGCCCTCACACAGCAGGAGTGCTCCAGCTGTATCACGCCTTGCTTCTCTTATCGCTCCAGGTGAACATGCTATTTGCCTGTTAATGTGCCATTATTTTGTCTCCAGAGCTCTGGAAGATGAGTTTAGCTATGTTGACCTTCTGTGGGCTGGAGCGATAGCACAGCGGGTAGGGCATTTGCCTTGCACACAGCCAACATGGCCGACCCGAGTTCGGTTCCTCCACCCCTCTCGGAGAACCCAGCAAGCTGCCGAGAGTATCTCGCCCGCACGGCAGAGTCTGGCAAGCTCCCCGTGACATATTCGATATGCCAAACACAGTAACAACGAAGTCTCCAATGGAGACGTTACTGGGCCCGCTCGAGCAAATCAATGAACAACGGGAGGACCATGACCGTGACCAGTCCGTGACCTTCTGTAGCCAGCATTTGTGGATTTTTTTTCTTTTTTGGGTCACACCTGGCAATGCACAGGGGTTACTCTTGGCTCATGCACTCAGGAATTACTCTTGGCGGTGCTCAGGGTACCATATGGGATGCTGGGAATCGAACCCTGGCAAACGCCCTACCCGCTATGCTATCGCTCCAAACCCAGCATACTTGGATTTTATTGTTTCATTTCCTCCTGCACAGGGAGTTCACCAGCTACTCACACTGACTGAAAATTCACCTTTTTGTTTTTCCCTTTCATGCTTCTAATAGCAACAGGCTGTCCCTGATTTGACTTTTCCTTTTCACACTGTCTCATTGGTCACATCACATCTGAATGGTTTTGATGTAGTAGTGCTCTTTTCTCCATAAAGGTGATTCTTTCCCATCATCTCCCTTTCTGTTGTGATCATCACATCATTTTTTTTATCTTAAGAGGTGATTCCCATCAGTACCCATTGCACTCATCTTTCATATTTCTTTGAAATGTATATTTAACTTTAGCATGCTGCATCTTTATTCAGCATGCAGAATAAAGAAAGATCATTCTATATAGCTTGAGACAACAAAGACTTTTGAGAATCTCCTATATGGAATTACTATGCTGAGTGCTAAGAGAAAGAGTTATAACTTTCATAACTAGAATTATATAAGAGAATTATATAGTCAGTGGATATGTTCATCCCAGTACCTGGCATACAACTGGCATTCAATAAGTGATTAAGAAGGAAAAGAAACAAACAAAAAATATCATACTGGGAAATAAGAAAGATAAAAATAACTTCAGTATTCCAAACCCAGTGGCCAAAGCGATGGTAAGGTTGGTAAGACATTTGCTTTGCACACACCTGACCTGGGTTCAATGCCTGGCACCCCATATAGTCCCCCAAGGTCTAGTTCAAAGAGTTGATACACATGCTTTGCATGTGGGAGGCCTGGGTTCAATCCCTGGCACCAAAACAGTCCTTTAGCAACATGCCAGATATAGTCCAAAAATCAAAAAAGGAAAAAACATTCAAATCCTATCATCCACAAGTGGTAATTTTTCTTATTCTTTCTCAGTTTGGATTTCTTTTGTATATTTTTCTTGCCTGGTTACTTTTTACCGCCCCCCCCCCCACCCAATTGCTCTTGCTAGAGTTTATCAAAACTGTTGATAAGCAGTAGCAAGATTGAACATCCTTGCCTTGTTCCAAGTCTTTTTCCTTAAGTACTTTTTATGTTGGGCCAGAGTGATAGCATAGTGGGTTGGGCGTTTGCCTTGCACACAGCTGACCCGGATTTGATTCCTCCGCCTCTCCTGGAGAGTTCGGCCAGCTACTGAGAGTATTCTGCCCGTTACTGGCACCCGCTCGAGAAAATCTTATGAACAAGGAGAGGATAGTGCTACAGTGGACAGTGCTACTTTTTATGTTGCCTCTTTGGAAACATCGCAAAAATAATATATCTTCTTATTTCTGGTACTGTTGTTATTATTAATCTACACCCAAGGGTGAACAGGGGTCAGGGTCACTCTCATCTTGTTGCTGACTTTTTACTGAGATGTCCCTTCAGCAAAATAAAAAGTAATAAAAATTCCCCCTTTGGGCTGGAGCAATAGCACAGCAGGTAGGGCATTTGCCTTGCACGTGGCCGACTCGGGTTCAATTCCCAGCATCCCATATGGTCCCCTGAGCACCACCAGGAGTAACTCCTGAGTGCAGAGCCAGGAGTAACCCCTGTGCATCGCCGGGTGTGACCCAAAAAGCAAAAAAATAAAATTTCCCCTTTTTGAAGGGTGGAGCAGACAGTGGAAGCTGAGGGGTAGGACCCAGGACCTCAGGAATCTTTAACACTGAGGCACATCTCTGGCTGCCAGATTTACTTTTTTAAATGATTGAAAAGACAACACGAGATTTTTTAAATTTTATTTTTATAAAGCTGTTCACAATAATTTATTATGTTCAGTATTTCAACACCAATCCCACCACCGTTACCCCTTCCCACCACCATTATTTCGAATTTTACCACCACCACCCAAACCTGCCCCAAAGGCAGATGCTAAATAATTTATTTTGTATTGCTTGTTATGAATAATTTGCTAAAAATGATCCAAAAAAGTTTTCCTAAGAGGAAAGCATGTGAAAATTGTTGTATCTCACTTTGGAGCCGCTAAGCCCCTGCCTTCACTTTACACCCCAAACGTGTGATTTACAAATCAGATGTGGTGCACTACTCTTGATATATCAGTGGCATAAAGTATGAGATGTTGCTCCAGGAATTCTAAAATTTTAAATAGAGTGCTAGACCTGGAGTTAAATTGTTATCTAGATGGTGATTTGGGGGTTTGGAGGCATCTCTGCAGCATGTTGCTCTCTTCTGAGATTTATTTGCGAGTCTCTGGATCATGGCCATTAATGAGCATATTTGGTTCCAGAGGCAGCTCGTGGCGTTACTTCCAGGTAGCTGGAAGCACAGGGAGATGGGAGGAGGGGCCCATTCCCTACTCTGTACAAGCCTGGAAGTTTCAGCCACAAAACCTGACAACCTGGGTTTTTCAGAGGATTCTTTCTCACGTTTCGGGGCTTCATCCCAAGCCTGTAGAGAGTGGCCGTGAGCATGGCGGCAGTTGGGTTCTGGAGTTTGTAGCTGCCGAGGTTCTTTCGGAGCGGGTGGAGCAACGCGAGATTCTTGATCTAAAAGACATCAGACCAGATTTAAATTACCAGCTATTGGTGTTACAGTCCAGTATTTCCCAGAGGGGTGATGCTGGAATAATTGGAGAGGGGGACCAGAGTAACCTTGGATACAAATGGAGGGGGCACTCTGTTTACTCAAAGAAGTCAGATTTTCAGGGAGCGCTGATTTTTTTTCTGGGAACTGGGGTAGTAGCCCCAAATCAGTTTGGGAGTCTGTATAGTAGCAGTTCATGCAAGCCAGTTTTCCTAATGATTCTTTCTTTTTCAGGCTGCTGAATAACCATCATGATGATGCCTCTAAGTTTATTCATCTCCTAGCAAAACCCAGCTGCTGCTCTCTGGAGCAGGAGGACTTTGTCCCTTTACTTCAGGTAATGTCCATTTCCTTAGAATACATTTTATTTTTTAGTTTCAGAGGTTCTTCAGATTTGTTCGATTCTTTGTCAGTTGGGCTCCAAATCTAAAAGTTATATTTCTTTTTTCTTAAGAATTTTTTTTATTGAATCTCTGTGAGATAGACCCCTACAAAACTGTTCATGATTAGGTTTCCATCGTACAGTGTTCCAACACCCATCCCTCCACCAGTGTATATTTCCCAGCACCTCTCTCTCTGTTTCTTTCACTGTCTCTGTCCCTCTCCCTCTGTCCCTCTCTCTCCTTCTCTCCCTCTCTCTTAATCTCATTATATTTCCAAAAGAATCATTTTTTAAGTTTTAGCAACACAATCCTTTTATTTTTTATAGTGGAGAATAGTTTATTACTCTTTTAAAGATAAACATGACTTTTCCTTCATCAACTTTTGAAACAATCTTTGACAGTCTTCAAAATATAAGTCACTTTAACATTTGAAAAGTATATACAGGGGACAGAATGATAGTACAGCAGGTAAGGCACTTGCCTTACACGTGGCCAACCCAGGTTTGATTCCCAGTACTCCATATAGTACCTCAAACCGGCCAGGGTGAGGGTGAAACAGAGTCAGGACTAAGCCCTGAGTAGAGCTGGACATAGCCCCCAAACAAAACAAACAATAAAGTAGAAATGAAATGTTTTTCTTAGAGCACCAGAATTTTTTTGTGTGCTTTGGGGACACACCAGCAGAACTCAGGGCTCACTCCAGGCTCTGTGCTCAAGAATCACTCTGGCAAGCTAGGTGGGCCATAAGGAGCACCAAATATGGACAGGAATTTGTTATTTTCAATTCATACACTACTGATTTTTTGTGTGGTTGAACAATGTATCTCTTTTTTTTTTCAATTTTTTTTCTTCTTATGTTTATTGAATCACTGTGGGAAAAGTTAGTAAGCTTTCAGGTTTAAGTCTTGGACATACAATGATCAAACACCTTTCCCTTTACCAGTACTCATTTTTCACCAACAAGTACCCCAATGTACCCCCCTCCCACCCCTCCCAATGCCTGTGAGGCAGATGATTTCTACTTAACTCTTCTCTACATTGATTACATTCATTATTTCGACAAAAGATGCACCATTATTGTTTAGAATTTCCCCCTCAACAATCAGAATTGCTGAAAAGGCATTGTGAAATACCTTGTTTTCTGGTTATGAGAATCATATAATGTCATGTGGCCGCAATTTTGGATTTCTGCAAAGAGCCAGATAATTACAAGATTGGTTTCTGTGCATCTGGTGTTATGGCTGTGCCAGAGAACCGCTTGTGGGGGGCAACTCGTGACCTCAGTAGGGCGTGAAGGACAAGCTGGTACCGCCCCCCTTCCCATGAGACTGCAGTTGCTCCATCACCACCGGCTCATACCTGGCTTTCCTATAAGCTCTGAGGCAGCGGCCACCTTGCTGCCAGGGAAGAAAAAGGCTGAAGGGAGCAACACCCTTTCCCTCCCGGGGAGGCATGGCACCATAGTTTAACACATGGTCCATTGACTTTTCTGCCACAAGCTGCCGGGCTCTGAATTAAGTCCTTTTGCCTCTGGAGCCATGGCCAGAGAGCTGCTCATGAGGGGCAACTTGTGACCTTGGAAGGGCATGAAGGACGAGCCGGTACCACCCCCCTACCCATGAGACTGCAGTTGCCCCGTCACCGCCAGCTCATACCTGGCTTTCCAATAAGCTCTGAGGTGGCAGCCACCTTGTATGTGGTCCAGATGCATTTCTGCCAAAAGCCGCTGGGGTCTCTTTGGGATGGGGAGGAAAGGGCCGGCTCCACCCCCATCCCATGAGGCCCCATGTGTCTATGTGTCTTGTCACTGCAGGCCCAAACCTGACTGTCCAGTGGCCTCTGGAGGATGGCGGTCACCGGGCCGCCAGGGGGAACAGGCCAAGGCACGAAACCTATTCCCATCTGGAGTGGCACAGCACCAATAACCTACTGCAGGAACAGGACGCATTTCTGTCAAAAGCCTTTGGGTTCCGAGATTCGTTTCTGAGTCTCTGGGATCATGGTCGTTAAGCAGTGAGGAACCAGATCAGGAACCAGAGAGGCGCTGCCTCCACTTAAATAGCTGAGCCAGAGGTGGTTTGTGGGTGTGTCTCCCACTTACCTAACTTTTGACCGTTAACTTTCTTGGTAAACTTTGCCCCAAGTTTTTGGGGTCTGGCCAAAGGCACAGCGGCAGTTTTGGAGTATCTGAAAGTCTGACGATGCCATCAGGCTGCTGATGCACTCGCCTCACAGGTACAAATTCACCTGCTGGCAGCACCATACTCCCAACACAATCCTTTTAAATGAATTAATTTCCTTACATAGAACCTGTGGGACAGAACAGATGAACTTTGGCTGCTTCCACCAAAGCAGAGAACATCTACTCTGAATCTCCCTTGCCCACCAAAGCAACTACTGAAGCACTTTCTGAAACCAGGCATTCATCCTGTTGACCTGGTTGCCCTTTGTTATGGTCAAAAAGAGCATTAGCTATAGCATTCTTTAGATCCTGATACATTGCTTCTTAATCTTATATCTAAATGTCTTATGTTTCAAAGTAGTCACAGGCTCCTTGAAGTTAAGCTCTGCCTTTCATATGTGGTAAAGACGTACCGTTGCTTCTGTAGTTTCAGTGAATCCTGTGGACCATTAGTGAGGATACCTAAAGATGAATGGGAAAGTACATTTCAGTAAATTCCGTGGACGTAAGGATACCTAAAGAAGAATGGGAAAATGCATTACATAGAAAATACATATTTTTAATTCACAATCACGATCATCCTGTTGTTCGTCGATTTCCTCGAGCAGGCACCAGTAACGTCTCCTCCTTCCTAGCCCTAAGATTTTAAAAGAGTCATTTCAATGCTCTTTAAGGATTAGGAGAATGAGACCCATCATTGGTACTGGTATTTGGTATATTGGGTACGCCACAGGAAGTTTGCCAGACTCCACCGTGCGGGCAGGATAATTTTGGTAGTCTGCCAGGTTCTCCAAAGGAAAAATAAGATAATAAGATGTCGCGGTCGCGCACTTCCAGGAGCTGGGTTTTATAGTCTCTGCGTCTTGGCCGTTGATGGGACCAACCTGGCACTGGCAGCAGCTGGTGGATGTGACGCCTACCTACTGGAAGATGGGGGATCTGGTTGGAGAAGGCCCAGTCCCAATCCGAGTAGGCTTGGAGACCTCAGCCCCGGGATCCGCATGCCTGGGTTCCTCTGCCAGTTCTTTCATGCATGAGGCCCGTCCGGACATGTGGAAAGAGGTCCTCAGCTGCTGGGGCTCTGCTTGGGGCGGGGGGTGGGGGGGAGAGAAACTCAACCCTCCCCCCTCCAAGGGGCCCCGGTGAGGATAGCCAGGCACCAGGGCAGGAGACTCAGTATAGTATAGTATAGTATAGTATAGTATAGTATAGTATTAGTATACTAATACTATACTAATACTATACTATATAGTATACTAATACTATATGTGTAAACTCAAAAAGACAGTAGTGACTCTATCTCTCCCGCCACCCGCGTTCAGTAGTCTCACGCCGGTTCCCCCACCCCGGGGAGGTCGATGGTGATTGGTAGGCAACGGAAGGAATGAGGGCCAGGCTGGTTGGTCTTAGTTGCAGTTTATTCCATTCACATCTCCATTCTCCTCTGACTCTCCTCCTGTTTCTTCCTCCCCCATGCAACTTCATTCTCCTCCTCAATCCCCCTTAATTCTCCTTTCGGCTCTGGAATCTGGATCTGGATCCCCCTTTCTCCTTCTCCTTCTGAAGTCTGGATCCCGATCCCCCAGCCCACTCTTACAGTCTAGTTATATCCCAATGAATGAGAGGTTGGGGCTTACACATAGGTGTGGTCACAATCAATAGGGATAAAGTTCTTTCCCTCAGGGGGTACTTCTTCTAGAACAGATACCCTCTCCGCAGGATGACCCAGCCAAGAGTGGAATCCCATGGGTGTGTTTCTCCTCTCCTTGTCCAACAAACATATAAGCATTCATAATATAAATCATTTTGTAAGGATACAGTAAGAAATACCTTAAGCTTATAGAATTGTTCTCCTAGGGCCATCTCGATCTCAGACTACAGTGCTCAGGCCAGATAGTCTTTCCTATCCCTAGTAGGGTCCTAGTCTTGTCGTTACTTTTGGATCATGACAACATTTGTCTATGATCAAGCTCTTAACTTACAGTTAAGAATCGTGGCACTTTGGCCTGGCCCATTTTGATGCCAGAGTAGCTCACTGCTTGCCCTGGGTCCATTCAGTCCCTCGTCAGGACCCTGCTTTTGGTGTATTAGGAACCAAGGGCAACTGAGGCTTAAGTTGAGAAAGCAGATGCCCAGGAGTGAATAATATTCAAAGCCAATTAAATCCTAAATTACAAAGCATAATATTAACTGTCTTCCTGTATCTATACAAAAAGAACATTGCATTAAACTATTCAAAAGACATAAGAAGAGGAGAAAGGCAATATTAACTTACAATACAATTTCAGTGTCCTAGAAGGATCTGACCTTACTAATTAACAGATACTGATTAGGGGAAAAGCTGGTTAACTGGTTGGGGAGGAGAGCATAGGAAAGAGTTTACAGATAAACACGATGGAATGGAAGTGCCTCAGGAGCACTATAATAAACCTGAGTTCTTTATGGCAAGGGAGGAAGGACAAACCAATGTCATCCTACACTATACAGTATACTACATGATACAGTAGTATACTATGTAGTATACTAATACTATAGCATACTAATAGTATCGTATAGTATAGTATAGTATAGTATAGTATAGTATAGTATAGTATAGTGAGTAGGGTGCTTGCCTTGCATATGGTCCCCAAGCCACACCTGTAGTTGAACTTTGGCTGCTTCCACCAAAGCAGAGAACATCTACTCTGCATCTCCCTTGCCCACCATAGCAAACACCTTTTGGTAGCAAACACCCTACCAGCTGTGCTATCGTTCCAGCCCTATAATTCACCT